AGGTTTATCACAACAAACACAGTATAAAACATCTGCATAGTCCTTTAAAAGTTTAACTTGAAAACTCACTCATATTTTGAACAAGATCTTTCGTCTTTGCTGTGATTTTCGGCATTTTAGGAGTCTTCAGTTCACAACCCACAAATGTGGGCCATACTCAGAGGAGTGTAGGACTACTAACCGGTCATTGGCATCTGAGAAAACATCTACACAACATGGTCATATACAACGATGATCCCATCTGCAGATTATATAATGAGGAGGAGGAAACAGCCACCCATATCATCTTCGAATGTGAAGCAACAGCTCAATGGAGATTTAACCTAACATATGGAAAAAACTTAGGGAGTCAAATTACAGCAGCGACAGTCAATGACCTGATACTTCAAGGAGAAGGATTGAGTCTATCGCACTGAACTAAGGAACTAGGAGGTACAATAAGCCAAAAGGCTGCAGTCCCTGGGTAGCACAAACCCCGCTTCCTAGTATCCAATTTACCATATCATACCATACAACACACAAATAATGTTTCACGATGGATAACGCATGAGAGACTTGGTAAAACTGAGAATTATGATGGTAGGGAAAGAAGAGAACTGAGGTCGTAATATTTCTATGAATCCAATTATACTATTCCAAGAGAACTTTTACAGTGGTACAAACACTATTCCTTTCTTTATTTATACCAAGAGAAGCTAAGGCGGCCGAAAGCGGTGGAGCAGCAACTGAACAAACACAAATTCGTTCATTATGTGGAAACGGAAAAATGGAGAATTTTTCTTTTTGCCTGCTCTGAAACATTAAAATTTGACGTGCCAAATACCGATATGCCGGATATGTAAAAAAATATGCAGTTATAACCCACTTATGCAAAAATATGCATTTATGGCAATATATGCGCAAATATTCAAAATAAATATAGCTTAAATTGATTTCAAATGCTTCAAAACATATACAGTTCGTTAAAACTGGATATTTTAGTTAACCAGGAAAAATATGCAAATGCATATATTTCTCAGGCCTACTCATGAGAGAGTAGAGGGGTGAAAAAGAGAGGACAGTGTGCGTCGAGACGGATATCCCTACGGCCTGGCCAGAGCAAAGAAAATCATCAATTCCTTGATCAACGAAGGCGATCGCGGACCCACTCAACTTCAGAGAAGGCGCTCCACATTCCTAGAAGCGGGGATTTTCAATCGCATGGAAAATAAGCATATCTGGACACTGGTTCCCAGGAAAGTTTAGTTTTTAAGGAATTGATAAATTTAGATTTTATGATAATTTAGGTTCATTTAGTGTGTAAGTTTGTTAAAATGTTGTCCGTAGAGAATTAAGATTAGTCTATGTTTAATATTTTAGTTTCCGTTGGAATAAATGTGTTTTTTTTCTTATGTAAATATTGTGTTCTTTTTTTTAAGTTAATTTTACTGTTATTGAATTTTCTTTGTTTTCTTTTCTTTTCTTTTTTTTTCTTTACGGTTCGATGTTTCCGTGTATATAAACAGCGTGGCGCCCATTGTTTTTTAAATTTAATATTAAGTTCATTATTGTTAGTTCATTAAGTAACCCCGTCCGTCTCCACGGAGCGAAGCCGGCAAATTCTAGGCGTAAGAAGTTCAGTGCTGGCATTGTACTGTGTGATGCGTTAATCATTAATACATATCATCCAAAGGTAGCAAACAAATTAAAAAAATTATTTATTTTTTGAATTTACAAGGGCATCCGACAGGTCGGTCATTTCAGCCCCCAGCACATGCGAAATGTAACAACCCACATTCTATACGCATTCACACCTATGTACATTGCGATCATTCTGTTCAGTAGATGTAGTACTCAATATCCATCCATCGCCCTGCACACAATGGCAAACTGACGTAATGGAGGTAATACTTTTTAAAAGGATAGTTCCTACTCACAGTAAGTTGTTTTGCAACGATTTCGAGCCTTTTAGCTCATCATCAGGTTGAAGGACTTCCACAACCACGTCTCTCGACATGAATTGCCAAAGTGAACCGCTGATACCTCCGCCAACGCGACGTTCCAATTATCAGCTGATTTTTTTAATGACGCTCAATTTGAACGTGCGAAGCGCGGAAATTATAACACAAATAAATATTAGAATAATAAATACTTAATATTACTATAAATTACTGTAAAAATAATAACAATTAAAATAATTAGATTAATTATTTGGATGTTTGATATTATTTATGTACATATTTAAAATGGGAGGTAGATCAAAATCTGTTATATTATTAATGCATTTATCACCATGTTCAATTTTACATTTTTTAATTTCAAATTTCTCAAACCAATCTAGTTCTTTCCCTTTGTTGAAACTATGTAACACTCTTGTATTTAAATTTGAATTGAAATTATGTTTTGTTTCTTTTAGATGGTCCTTAAATTCCGAAAATTTGCTCGATTTAGGCAAGTGTTCTTTTACTCTTGTTTTTATTTCTCTACCGCTTTGTCCTATATATTTAATATTACAATCATTACAATTGAGTTGGTAAACCCCACTTTTTGCCAAGTTGTCTACTTTGTCTTTAGGTTTTGATAGGATGTTTTTAAGTGAACCCGTACTTCTAAAAGCTATTCTAAAACCTTCTTGTTTAAAAATTTTACTAACTTTTTCCGATAATTCACCAATGTATGGCAAACAACGGAAACCTACTGATTCATTTGTGGTGGGGTGACTGAGTCCTATTGTTGATTCGTTTAAAGTTAATTTTTTTATTCTTTTAACTAGCAACCTATCAATAAATATTTCTTGATACCCGTTGTTTTTTGCTAAGGTTTTAATAGTTTTTAATTCTTTTTTTATAGTTATCAGGTGTTAGCGGAAGTTTTAACATCCGGTCTATGAGCCAAATGAAACCAGCAGCCTTTTGGGACCATGGGTGGGAAGAATCCGCTGGTATCATAGTGTCTGTAGTTGTGGGTTTTCTATCTTTTTCAACTAGGTTGTTTATTATGGACAGTTTTAGGTCTAAAAAGTTCAAACAACCATCTTTGCCAATTTTAAAAAGTATCGAACACCACACTCACTCCATCATTTATCATTTCTATTAATGGAGGTAATGTAGGTCGTTGGGGTACTTTTCTAAAAGTCTGCTTTCGACCCAAGTCACGCACACAGCTCGAGGGGCGATTGAGATGCTATTACACCATCAGCCCCTCACCATGCACACTAATAAATACACTCACTTATACAAAACATATATTTTGAAAGTCATACACAATAAAAATTTACCAATTTCCCTAAAAAGCGGAAAAGGAGACCTGAAACTCGCTATTATGTCCGAATTTTAAATCTGGCGGTATGCCCACTCGCACCACCATGACAATTATGTGGACGTACAGAGAGTGGATGGGTGTGCGTATGATTATCTAGGTACGCTGCTCCAATTTTTGGAGGAAACAGGGCTGTTTTATTGGATACAGTACAGACGGTTTTGTGTACCTAGAGTGTGCTGAAAGTGATTTATTAGCGAGAATGTTAAGTGTGCGAGAGTCGATAGTGGAATATTGAGTACCCCATCGTCCCTCGATTAGGTTAGTTATATAATAGGTGTAAAGGATGGTGGAGGAATAACGAGTACTCCACACCCTAATTGAGTGAAAGGTATGTATTTAAGAATGAGTGAGATAGGTTTGGATCTAGGAACTGCTTGCGTGTTAAATTGGCCTAGCTGTTGATAGCACTCTGAGCCCTATTTCGGTGCCTGGACGGACAAGAGTGAGATGTGACCTGGACTGCCAACATCCGAGATGGGTAATTCTCGAAGCAGGGAGTCAATCAACTGCACATATCAAAAGGAAAACGCCTAATCTCGGATATATTGCCCCTCAGCTGAGTTAGACCTCTACAGTAAGTCGTTCTTGTATTTTAGCAATTTTACATGTCAGTAATAATCAGTTTTTCCCCCAATTTATTAATGAATTTGTGTAGTAAGGCCTGTCTAAACTTACAGAGTTACTGTAATTGTACGAAATTCTTCGGTATGTTGTTATTGGAAATCTATTTTTTTTTGTTTTTACGAGGGTTCGCAACAGCAGAGGTCATATAAACCCTCAGGGTGCCGGTGTTTTTGAAAAAAAACCTACTTGTAAGTAGGTTAAGTTCGATTGCAGGGCCGCTGGATTCGAACCCGGGACCTTCACCTTTCAGTGATGAGCGCCGTGTCAACGCCTAAACCGTTGCGGCCATCGACGCCCCCGCTGGAAATCTATAATGGGAACCAAATTAAATAGGACTTTTTAGAAGAAATTAAATTTAAATTTTCTAATCCAAATAGGTTACGGGTAAGGCTGTATTATTTTATTTTCCATATCTTTTATTCTAAACGCTAAATTGTCTAATGTTAACATTTGTACAATGGAAATTGTCAATTTAAGATTATCCCGCTGCCATTATTATGGTTATTCAATCAGCAAGAGCAACGTTAATTGAATCAAACCTGAATTGAAACTGAAATCACCTTTCATCTCTAAAAGATAATTAATTAATTCTCATAAATATGTATTAGAATGGATAACATGGGAGGGGCACGCTAATCGTTAAGCTTGGGGGAAAAACTAGGATTATCCGGTGTAATCGCAAGGAGGGATGCGTATGTTATCGCTGACGGCGGCGATTATTAATCCGTGAGTCTCATATTACTGTCAACGCAGAAAAGGGGATCAATGTTTAAATCCCACGGGGGATCGAAAGGGATATCAACCCGAAGTGCCTCGCCTTTCCCACGTTTTCCAATTTTCCACGTTTCCTTAGGGCACGAGTCGTTGAAAAACAGTCGTTCAAAGGGCCGCGGCGCGAAATCCGACTCGCGACCCCATCCAATTTTCCGCTATTAACAGTCGGGGGTGGGACATTCGCCCTTAATTTATGGACCCGGTGTGTCACAACTGCTCCCTTTCCTAATTGCCTCGGCGGTTAATTAATAGAGAAATTTGTCTGATAAATCTTTGAGGAAATCAGTCCTGTACCCACTTACCGGCAATAATGACTTTGATCGGCGAGGAAATGATGGCTCCGAAATTGTTTCTCACTGTGCATTGGTAAACGCCTCGATCGCTTTCTCCTTTTCTCTTGTGTACGACCTAGATAAAACAAGAATAATCAGTTGGATTATTTTTTTACTTACTGCATACATAAAGCGCATAAACAATTCAATTTGGTCCTTTCCGATCATCCTTGGTCTGTCTTCAGAAACGCCCAAACCACAGACTCACCACCCCATAGATTTCGACAAAAATTTCACAGACAGAAAATGCATAAAAAGAAAGACATGAAACAAGTCCAATAAGTTGAAAATAATGAAAATAATAAACAAAGACTGGTGAGAAATAGAAAAACTCGGACCAAAACGACTCTTAATCAGACATCATTGAATCCATCATTCAATTCGATCTGCCGCACAAAACCTCAAAGGAAATAAGGAAGTGGGTACAAATTTCACTCTTACATCTCCAAAAACAACATCTTGTATAAAAGAGGATAGAGGGTTGAGGATACGGTTAGAAAGAGAAGCATGAAAGAGAGACAGAAGGCAAGATAAACAAATAGAAAAGGACAACGTTCCAACTTAACAAGCGATCCGAAACAATAAAACCGTTATACAACGAGCTATAAAACCGAGGGCACGATTGTTGTTTAATAAATGAGGAAGCATGTCTGGGAGCTAAAGCCGCTGAGAGAAGTTGAAAACAGTTCAATGAATGACGATGGCATCTGTCGCGATGGAGAACGAAAAATGTAATATTCTGTTAAACAAGTGTCACGAGGAAGATCAAAATAAATACGGTAGAACCAGTTAAATCGAGGGAATCATTCCATTTATAAAGATTTCGAATGGTCAATATTTCGATTTTATGCTAATGTATAAACAAAAAAAGATTAGATTTTCATTTCCTCGATAACACTTACTGGCAAATTATTTTTATACGCATATCAGTGAGAGAGACATCAGAAATGGAGAAATTCTATGCCAAGTGTAACAGGACTTGAATTTACAAAACTCACTTCCAGAGGACGAATTAGCGTGTCATCCAGGTGAGGTTCTCTCAGGAAACCTTCCAAAATTTCGAATCGAAAAAGTTTTCAGTTTATCTACTTTCTGTGATAAACGTATTCACAAACGAGCCAAAATACAATTGTGATATAGTCGGACCAAAGAAACCGTATTCAACAAATTTCGGCCCTGCCTTGACCTACTAAACGATGCTGGAGTAAAACCAGCATTCATGCGTCATCTCTACGGCCTCTTTTCGAGTTATTGATTGTGGGATTTCTACTTGAGGTCTGTAGGGCGATGACCTTAGTTTGGATGTTTATCGGTCATCCTGGTCTATCTACACTATAATTTGGTCAGTTCGAAGGACAGCGAGAAGAAGCGGACCAGATTAATCGGAAAAGACAAAAATATATAATCTAAATCAAATGAAAATGAAGCAGGAAAAATATTATTAGTACTCTAATTATTTCCTAGTGTATGAAATTTTGGATGATCAGTGGACAAGACTTGTCCCGGCACCCTCATTGAATGTCCCGCGTAGTTCCATTACAAACTATAATTTTTTAATATATTTTATTATTATTAAAGGCCTTATGAACTATGCATATTAGCCAAAAAGACGAGTGTTTACATTTTTTGGAGGGGGAGGGTATCGTGAAGAAAAGGGCCAGGTGCGATGGAAGGAATCGAACCCACGACTATGGGGTCTACTAGCCGAGATTATCACGCTGACCATTCGGCTACCGCGGTCCCCAATACCATGGTTAGGGTTGGGATGGGTAGAGATGGTTAACTCTTTCTTGTCCAAAATTCTATCAGAGCAATGCCAACTTTAGCAATTTTGTTCAAGCTTAGCATGAAATCCCATTAGTTAATGTTGTCATTTCTCTGTTTCTTGCCTTTGTATTGACAACGCTGATTTACATGGCATCAATCTAAAATCACTAAATTTACGGAATTTCCCGTTAACGTTTTAACCAAATTTCTAATGTTCGTCTTGCTCTAAGACAACTTTGGGACGTAAAGGTTTAAGGGCACATCCTACTTCTGATATTTCTACTGTTGGGGATAGGGTTGAATAGAGATGGTTGAGGATGGTAACCATACATCACAATAGTTGGGTACAGATAGGTTGGATACAGATAGTTAAAGACGGGTAAACACCTTATTTTTTATTTTTTACCTGAAAAAGGGGAGTGTTTTAATCAATGCTTTGCCGATATTGGTAATCAAATTAATAAAAAATTTAAAAAACAAACGTTTACTACATCCAATTCACTAGTTTCGTGGTCCGCTTGACCAATTAATATTAACCAATTAATTAAGGTTTTCAGTTGAGATAAAAAAAGTCAGAGTATCGAGCGGGATTCGAACCCACGACCTCCGGTTTGATACGCCGCTACTCTACCACTTGAGCTATGGTGACCTCGATCCCCTCGGACTCTAATTTCCCATTTCAACCCCACCTTTTTGAATTTTCCCTCCTTTTTGCCATTTTTCAATTCACTTTCGCCCTCAAGTAGTAGAGCAGCGGCGTATCTAGCAGAAGATTGTGGGTTCCAATCCCGCTCGTGACACTGACTTTTTTACCTCAACTAAAAACTTTAATTAATTGAAAGATGTTAATTGGTCAAGCGGATCACGAAACTAGGGAATTTAATGAGTTTACTACACCATTAAATTATAAAAAAAATATATACATTAAAAACAACTTACAATTAATTAAGGTTTTTAGTTGAGATAAAAAAGTCAATGGCACGAGCGGGATTCGAACCTTCGGCTAGATATGTCGCTGCTCTATCACTTGAGCGATCATGACCTCGATCCCCCCGGCCACTAACTTCCCATCTCAACTCCACCTTTTGAATTTTCCCTCCCTTTTTGCCATTTCAATTGGTCAAGCGGACTACGAAATTAGTGAATTTAATGAAATTAAAAACAATGTTGAACAATTGAAAACAATGAATATAGTTAAATGTACCTAAAATCATTTTTTTAAATTATAAATAATATTTGTGTAACAATTTGAACTTTAAATAATAATTAAATTCACTAATTTCGTGGTTCGCTTGACCAATTAATATATTACAATTAATTAAGGTTTTTAGTTGAGATGAAAAAAAGTCAATGGCACGAGCGGGATTCGAACCCACGATCTTCGGCTAGATACGCCGCTGCTCTACCACTTGAGCTATCGTGGGGTTCGAATCCCGCTCGAGCCATTAACTTTTTTTCATCTCAACTAAAAACCTTAATTAATTGTAATTTAAATAATAATATGTAGTTGCGTTGTTATTTTGAAAGAAAGACTGATCATCTCACCCTGCACAAGCCACTAGGCTTTTGGGTGAATGCCTTTGTTATATAATACAAATTTACTGTTCATAATAAAATATTGTATAAATACCATATCTGTAAAATTGTGAATTTTGTTAATTGGCAAATAAAAATTAAATTAAATTTTTTAAAAATATTTATTTATTATGTTGCAACAGGGCGCTATAAGCAAATTAGTTGTCATTATAAATTTTGGATTCGAACATTATTAGAGTGGAGAAGTAATCTTTTCATTTTCCACTAAAGGAAAGAAATCGCGAGGCTAATTCGCTTTAGGGGTTTTAGACGATTATCAGGGATTGTTCAGAGTGAAAAGTGTTGGGATGAGGGTTCAGGCTTTTATTCAGGCGTCTGTATCGTCTTCTTGCTGGTTGCAGGACAAAGGACTTTGGACGTCTGTAAGCATACGAAGCAGAGAGCTTGGGCAATGGTTCGATACGATTTCGACTGGAGTGACTGAAATCTTTGAAGGTTGGGACGCTTGGTTGACACTATTGGTTCGATTCCGTACGTCCCGATTGGTTACGATTGTTTTCTAGTATGGGTTTCGATCCGTTTTTCAACTAGTGATTTGAGTAGTTCGCCTGTTAAGTTCTATTATTTTGAGTAGGGGTTTCAGGTAAACCATTTGTCAATGTAATGTACGAAATAGCAGACGGGAGAGAAATGGATTGCAGGGAGTTGTAGTGGATTAGAGGAGAGAGATAATGGGGCGAAGTGGGAAGATTATTTGCTGGGAAGTTAAGTTTAACCCACCATTGCTTCAACTATTCTTAGGAGAGACGGTCCTTGAGGTTTCTCAATGCCAATGTTGAGTCTAGGTTTGCTATCATCTGCATACGAGAAAAATATTGTAACGGGATTGATAAGAATGTCTGCGGTGTATATTGAAAAGTGAATAGGACCGAAGATGCTGCCTTCCTGACCACTTACTCGTTAGGATTTTAGAATAAGGTCCATCCAATGGAATGCTTGCTTAATTTCCACCCAGCAGCATCATTCTTTTCTCTCAAAGGAATTGCAATGTTATCTATCACTCCAGGAGTTAGAACTTTTTATGGATAAAGCCACCATTGAAGATAGCAAAACACCGTTAAGGGTCTAAACCCAAAACAGTCAGGACCAGAAGGATCGAAAAGAAAAGTTAAATATTGATTTATACTGGGCATTTAATACTTGTCAAGCTTTTTCGACTTGACTAAAAATGTAAACAAAGAAGATCGATCGAAGGCGTACTGGGGTTCAGCAAATGTTTAAAACAGACCAAGATGACTATCCTCGGTGTACGTTTAAATTACATAAAAAGGCATTGATGCTTACCTTGGTAATAATGAGAGATCCGTTTTCGGCCGTGAACCTCCTTGAGTCGTTGTACACCTGTTGGCCGTCGTGGGTCCATATCACTGAAGCCGGGCTCGTAGGACGGCAGGGGAGGTGCAGCGCGTGATTCTTCACGCCCACCACCTCGCCCTCACCGCCCTCCTCAATCCCCAACTCCAAACCTGAAAAAAAAAGAAAATCCTCAGCGATTGTGAAAAATTAAAGAACGTCAAAAACGGACTAAAGACGGAACCGATCCCTCTTGACCCTCGACATCGGCAATACACAGTCCAACGTCGATTGAGGATTCGCCCTAATTGAAATGTCCGGGATGATTCCCGTCAAAATCAAAATCTCCTCAAAACCTTTAGGTAGTACAGATTTTACGAAGTAAACGATAAAATATTCTGTTGCGCGGCCGCCCTAAGTGCAGGACGTCTTTGTATTCATCGAGACTCCGCATAATGTAAAATACGCTAAACAACCTTAATAATTCCTAAACTTACCTAAAGTACCTAGTAGTACCTAAAAAAACGTTAATCATCTTTAATTTCAAAATTATCTTCGTTTATGTGTTCAAAATAATCAATTAGGATTATCACTGAGTAATAAGACATTACTCAATACACATTAAAAAAAAGATATAATTTGGTGTAAAGTTGTTAACACTCGGTTCAATGTTTTAACACCCTTTAATAGCTAGGGACTTCCAAGCGGATTCACGATCCAATTAAAAGTTGTTGTTCTTTCATACTTTTAGTACTTAGAACTTTTTGCTTTGTTTTTTATAAGATAATTGCATCTTCTACTTACAATGTTTTTCATACTTTATTAGATTGGTGTCGGGTGGATTATCACAACAATACACCAGGTGCTTTCAAAAGAAGAAAAATCGTAAATTATTGTATGGCTCCCTTGTCGCACATTGCGAAAACGAGCGGACCCGGAGGATCGAGGACGATATATCCGTTGACAAACTGTTACACAATTTGCACTTACGCAACAAAAGAGATGTAATTTTGGATCATACGTATCCCTGAACAGATAATTTGGGAGGAGTAGTTAATTGCGCAGGTCGGAACTTTATCTGGTTTTTTTTATTTACATCATACGAATTTTTGATTTTTTTTACGAGGTTCGCAACAGCAGAGGTTATATCTACCCTCGGGGTGCCGGTGCTTTTGAAAAAAAAACCATTTGTATGTCGGGTTCGAATGCAGGGCCGCTGGATTCGAACCCGGGACCTTTACCTTACAGTGATGAGCCGTGTTAACGCATGGTTGCGGCCACCGACGCCCCTAATTTGTTGAAATCGACCGATTGCAAACACCTTTGATTTTCTCTGTGCAAAATCTAAAATGAAGATAAAATACTGTTATCAGGCTCGCACAGCCGCGTGTATCGGTCAGACGTCTGTAGTGTGTCAGCATGTTTCTCTTAGTAAATAAGAAATACATTGTACAAATTGACCCTCTCCAGTAAGGCTTTTTTGATTGGCTTTGTGACAATAAAGTATATTCTTTTTAGTAGAGGGTAGAGAATCAATCACAAATATTTAATTAAGTAAGCTGTTTAAAATCGAAAACAACAGAAAAGTGCAAAAATATGATCAAACTGATTTTCCAAATTTTAAAATAGTGGCCAAACTACGTCGCGATTTGCTAGTTCAGTATCGTCATTGAATGTCCACGTGCTATGTCTCGTGCACCTTCTTAATGTTAGGTAAAAGTAAATCATTTGGAGTAGGGAGTAACATTGGCAATTAGACATTTTTGGCTAGCATGAAATACTGTCTAAGCTATGGACTTTTTTTTAAATTCTAGTAATCCAGACTTTAAAAAAGTCTTTAATAGACTTTTTTTTAATACTCCTGAATTTCAACCAAATACAAGTACTTAATCCAGTTCGTGGTTTAAAATCGAAAAGAAAAGAATTAAAGCAGAAACATTATCAAAGAAAAAATAATTTACCAAAGTTCAATTTGTGACGAAGCTGTGCAGTCCCATCTTAAATGTTGAGGATAAAGGTAAACGATTTGGAGTACGGATTAATTCTGGAATTTAGGCCTTTTCGGCTGGCATAAAATATTTCTTGGGGGCGTCGGTGGCCGCAACGGTTTAGGCGTTAATACGGCGCTCATCACTGTAAGGTGAAGGTCCCGGGTTCGAATCCAGCGGCCCTGCATTCGAACCCGACATAATTACATTTTTTTTTTAACACCGACACTCTGAGGGTTGATATAACCTCTGCTGTTGCAAACCATCGTAAAAGAAANTTTTTAAAAATTCTAGTAAGCCAGACATTTTAATAACTTCAATGGACTTTTTGTACCGTTTGTCAATTTCAACCAAGCACAAATAATTAATGAAGTTCGCCGTTGAAAATGGAAAATAACAGGAAAGGACCGAAGTAATTTTTAAACTCAAATAATTTTATGAATTTGAAAATTGTGGCCAAGAAGTGTACGTCACTATCGTTAGCATATCCGCATGCTATGTTTCGTGCAGTGCCAAGTTAATTTTTTGTTTAAAGTAAATTATTTCGAGGCCTTTCGATTTAGGCCTTTGGCTGACAGAAACTATTTCTTAAGCAATGGACTTTTTTAAAATTCTAGTAAGTCTGACTTTTAAATAACTACAATGGCCTTTTTGTACGCATTGCCAATTTCAATAAAATACAATTACATAATCAATTTTCGTGATTTAAACTAGAAAATAAGAAAGGGACGAAATAATTGTATCAATGGATTCGAACCCGGAACCTTTACCTTACAGTGTTGAGCGCCCTGTCAATGTCAATCTTTGCGCCCTCCGACGACCCGAAATATCAAACTGAAATCCCTTCTCCAAATAATTTACTTTTACCAAAAATTTAACTTTAACTGTACGAGTCATAGCAGGCGGACATTCACTGACGATAGTGACGCACACTGCTTGTCCAAAATTTTCCAATTTAGGAAATTATTTATTAATTGTAATATTACTATCAATTACTAATTACTATTAATTAAGTAACACTGGCATAAAATACTCCTTAAGCAACGGACTTTTTTAAATCCTAGTAAGCCAGACTTTTAAAAAATTTCATTGCATTTTTTGTATCTTTTGTATAATTCGACCAAATGCAAATACACACTTAAAATCGTACACAAAAAAGCGGAAAAATGATTAAATTTAAATGTTTTAATTTGCATTCGGAGTAGGGATTAAGAGTGGTATTTAGACCGTTTTGCCTGGCGTAAAATAACATTTAAGCATTTTTTAAATTCTATTGAGGCCCCACTTTTAAAGAACTTCAATGGACGTTTTGTCAATTTCAACCAAATACTAGACATTTGGTGGTTCAAAATGGAAAATAACAGAAAAGAGCAGAAATATTATCAAGCTTAAGTAATTCCCCAAATTTTAAAATTGTGCCCACGTTGTGCGTGACATTATCGTCAGTGAATGCCCGCCTAATATCTCTCGTGCAATCCCATTTTAAATTTTGAGTGGTAGAAAATTACTTTGAGTAAGGATTTCATTCCTTATGGCGTTGTATTACTAAAGCTGCAATTTTTAAAAGCCCAAGTTTCAAAATTCCCTATGACAAAGATTAATTGTTTTAATCTCTTTTCACATGTTTGTGCTAATAAAGCTAATAGTCGATCGTTGTGTAAATGGTGAGTAGTTGTATTGTGCTGATGGCAAAACTTGTTTAAGAGGTTGTTATTAACATTATAGGGTTCAAATTAAAGTTAAGAACGCAGTGAGCTTTTAAGTAGAGCAGGTTGGATATTTAACGCCCGTGCAAAAGGGGGTTGGTAGAATATCCTATTAAAGTTGTTCCATTAATTAATATTAAATAAATAGGGATAAGAAAAACCTTCAGTCTCAGTGAGATGTGATACAAAATAAGTTATTTTAATTAGAAAAGGGTAATTTCCATAATAGCACTTCTGTCATGGATAAAAAAAACTGTACGCAACTACAATACTTCCCATTTGTTTATTTATGCCTTGTTCACCCTCATCCAGGGACCATTAATAATACAATAAAAGCTTCCATGAAAGCATTGGATTTGGAGAGGAGACGAAAAGTCATGAACTTTGTAATTTTACATTCAAGAGCCACCGGCTCCAATTTTACAAACGCCTCATTTAATTTGAAGGATGGAAGGCATTCGTGTATTCAGGGGCGAGTTTCCATTCATTGGAAATTGAAGTTGAAGGAGGAATCTATTCAATTTCGCCTAATTGTCCTTGAGTGACGATCTGCGCCATTAGCGAGGGTTAGGGAGACGTCACGATTTCTTTTGTAACTCGCTTCTCGGCCCAAATGAAAAAAAAATACAAATACAAATAAATAAAAACTCGCCACAACACCGCTCTGTGTAAGACCGCCGACTGATTTTAGTTCGGCTTGTTAATGGCTATTAACATCCTTCTAGTGTTACTACGTACAAATCGGTTTATTTAATGTCAACTTCTACTTCACTACATCGACTTGTTTTTCCTCTTACATCTGATACACATCTTCGACATACAGTCTTTGCGTGCGAGTACGAAGGAATGCGATTTTGGACCTAAATTCCTCTAAAAAACAGTTAACCATGAAAACCCTTTTATAGAGAAGCCAAATAATATACAAAAACTCCATCTTGTTATTCCCATCGATTCATTTCATATATATCGTCATATAAGATGTTTTAAGAGGATGGTACTTAGGCGAGAGACAGCAGAGAAAAAGCCGAATTGTTTGCTAGTTACCTTGCTGAAATCTTCAAACCAAATGAAATCATCAATAGCAGCTTACTTGAAGGAACAACCGTCACAGGAAGAAAATATAAAGCTAGTTTCACCTAAAGAAGAAGCAAGAGAAATTAAAAATCTACCTGCTAAAAAGACTCCAGGATATGACCTTATCACTGGAGAAATACTAAAACAATTGCCAATAAAGGGTATAGATAAACTAACATACCTATTTAATGCTGCAATCAGACTGAAATATGTTCCCAGCATCTGGAAATTCGCAGAAGTCATTATGATAAAAAAAAAACAGGAAAACCGGCGAACGAGATCAAATCATATAGAACAATATCGCTACTACCAACAGTGTCTAAACTCTTCGAAAAGGTATTATTAAAACGAATAAAACACATCGTTGAAAAAAAGAAAATATTCCTGACCACCAATTGGGATTCC